TCCCCGCCTGCCCTAGTCTGGCCTGCGATCCGGGTAGCCTGAGCTATGTATGGGGCGTTAGCAGCAGAAGAGATGTCTTCCCAAAGCCAGCGCCGAAGTGGCTTATTATTCGAGGGGCGCCGTGTAGGGAAAAGGGGCGTCGATGGTTCAAGGCGTGGGAAGCAAACACCAGGAAGAAAGAAAATCACTACCTGGCTCTGAGGGTCTCGGGCTAGTCCCCTCGCGGCACAAATTTGCCCCTATAGCACCCTCTGCTGGACGTGCGGTCCATTGTTTCGGTTCTCCATCCAAACGCCACCCTGCCCCCAATCAGGAAACTTAGCCTTTAGCGGGGAGGCAGAGAGTCCTTTGCAAGCGAAGCAGCACGTCGCCGGGGTACTTCGTAAACCTGAGCTGTGCTGACATTAGATCAGAACTTCCTATTTGGGGTTTTAAGCAAATGAGTCGACTCCTAAGCTAAAACGTAGTCTTCAGAATCGATAAGTGAAGGATAAAAGGTGAGAAGTTAAAAGCATGGGAATCGAATATTGCATTTAAAATTGACTTTAGAAATGACATATCCAGGGGCCGGGGAGATAGCTCAGTAGAATAAGCACTTGCCTGGCAAGCACAAGGCCCTGAGTTCAATCCCCAATACCAAAAGGAGAGAGAGAGAGAGAGAGAGAGAGAGAGAGAGAGAGAGAGAGAGGAGAGAAAAACTACATATCCAAGGCAGACCCTTTATTTTCTTTACTGTGTATTTTGATATACACCACAGTGCAAGGACACCACAAGCACTAAATATTTGTTGGGCAAATCTTCATTTTGCAGCTGAGACTTATCTTTCCACTTCAATCGTTGTCTTTCTCACATACCTTCATTCATTCATTCATTTATTGAACAACTATTTTTCAAGTTCTAAGTGCCAGCTATTAACAACATCCAGTCACAGGACTTTCTCCCTCTTCAGTGTGCTCAAATAGTCCCAAACCAAGGAAAGATATTAAAAGGAAACCAAAAAGAGAGGGGCTGGCCTGTCCCAGATGTTGACCAACCTGGAAAGCAATAGGAAGACAGTTATTTCTAAGCGTGGAATGCCCGAGGATGAGCAAAAAGCCTTCCACAAGGAAGTTAAGAGGTTTGTTGTTGTTGTTGTTTTTAATATAAGAAATCAAAGTAGCAGCAAGGAGTGGTGGCATACCACTCAGTGCTGTAATTCCACTAAGGAAGCTGAGGCAGAAGGATCATCATATTTCAAAGCCAGCCTGGGCTACACAGCAAGACACTGTCTCAGAAAAGCAAAGAAAAGAAGAGAGGAGAGGAGAGGAGAGGAGAGAAAGAATATGAAACCAAAGCAGAAAGAAAACATTATGAACCAATATCTATCTAAGAAATCTGTGAGTGCCTCAATGAAGAGTTTGTGCACATCTAAAATCCAAATGAGTGATCTGAAGCAAAACTAGAAAGTTTATATTTAACCCAGTTTTCTTCCCAGAAGACTGTGGTGGCAGAAGAGCAGTGGTTCGGTATTGTGCAGGAAACAAGATACTAGATCCCCTTAATGGTTACATCTCTTTGGGGGAGATAAACTCATAATGACTTATGTCATCCACGTAGCTTTGCTCTACTTGTTCATTCAACACATTTTTAGCTAAGAAAATATTTATAAGGCCAGGGAGATAGCTCAACAGTCTAAGCACCTGCTTGGCAAACACAAGCCCCTGGGTTCGCTCCTCAGTACTGCATGCAGTGCAGGCCCCAAACAGCAAGCCAGCCACTGAAACAGGGCATGGTGGTGCACACCCACAATCCCAGAGCTGGGGAGACTGAGGCAGGAGGATCACTACAAGTCCAAGCTGCATAATGAGCCCCCGTACCAAATTAATTAATTAAAAAAGAAAATATTTATAACAATAAGTGTTGGACACTGCACTAGAGTCTAAGATACAGAGTAGAAAGACAAATGGAGTCCCTGTTCTCATAGGATGTCAGAAAGCCACTTCAGACCCATTTGGATGGCTACAATCAAAGAGAAGTGTAACAGCAAGTGTTGGTGAGAAGTGAGAAATAAGTATTCTCATACCTTGCTGGTGGGAGTATAAAATGGGAAGCTGCTTTGGAAAACAGCCTGACAGTTACTTAAAAAGACTGAGTTAATAATGTAAACTAGTGCCGGCCCTGCCCCCAGGGCACAGTGAGCCAGCAATTGAGACAGGCCTGTAATCCCAGCTCTTAGGAGGCTGTAAACAGGCAGATCATTACAAGTCTGATCTAGTAGTGAGACCCTGAATACCCTGTAGACCTTTCCCTAAAATAATAATAATAATAATAATAATAATAATAATAATAATGTAAAGTAGCAGTTCTACCCATATGTATATTTCCAAGAGAAATGACAATATGCATTTTAAAAACCTCATAATTTATTTGACATAGGAAAAAACTAGAAACAGGGCTGAGGAGATAGCTCGGCACTCTAAGCACCTGCCTGGAAAGCTCAAGGACCTGAGATCAATCCCCCAGTACCGCACGCCATGCCGGCCCTGGAACCTAGGGTGTCCTGTGCTAGGAAGGAGGATCACTATGAGTCTGAACTGCTGAACTGCACAGTGAGACCCTGTATCAAATAAATAAATGCATACATAATTTTTTAAAAACTAGAAACAATGTACATGTCCATCAACTGATAAAAACATGAGTTTGGTGTATTAATACTGTGGAAGATTATTTGGCACTATCTAAAGGAGTAAAATCCTGGTAGCTGCTACAAGATGAACAAACCCTAGAAACATCATGCTGATCAAAAGAATCTAGTCATTAAAAAACTGTACTCTGTATGATTCCCCTTATATGAAATGTCTGGAGTAGGCAAATACATCAAGAAAGAAGTAATTTCCAGAGCTGGAGGAAAGGGAAGAATGAAGAGTGACTGCTACAGTTTTTATTTTTCTTTTTGTTTTCTTTTTTAATCTTGTTGGGGGATACTGGGAATTGTTCACTTCTTTTTTTCTTTTTTTTTTCTGATGGAACCAGGGATTGAACTCAGGTCCTTGCGCTTGCCAGGCATGCGCTTATTCTACTGAGCCATCTCCCCAGCCCCCAGCACTGGGAATTGAACTAGGACCTTCACACTAAGCTACTTTCCCAGCTCTTGTTATTGTTTTGAGAGAGCGTCTCACTAAGGCCCTAAATTGCCCAGGCTGAGCTCCACATTGTGCTATCCTGCCTTGGCCTCCCGGAATGCTGAGATATGAACATAAATCAGCACACCTGGCCTAGGGTTCTTTTTGAAATGACATAAATGTTTTAGAATTAAATAATAGTGGTAGTTGTATACCCTTGTGAGTGTACTAAGAACCAACTAAATATTTAAAGGGGTGAATTTTGCCCAGTAGAGAGAGATAATATATTTTAATGTCTATGTCAGATGTTATGCCTTATGCCTAGATGTCCCCACAAAGTCTCATGCACTCATAGGTGGGACTTTTCAAAGCCAGCTGGATTTGGGATGCCACACTGTGAGTAGAGGCTGCCGATGCTCAAAAGGTGGGTAGCCTGGAAGAGATCAAGGGGGGAAGCTGCTGCTTTGCTGCCTTCTGCCCCTCAGGAGCTGCTTCTCCTCTGCAATACTGCTCCACCATGCCATCCTGCCAACTACAAAGTGAAACCTCTACAAACCAGGGGCTATGATAAACCTTCCCTCCTTTAACTTTGGGTGTCAAGTATTTTGTCTTAGCAACAAGAAAAGTAACAGACATCAGATAAACATAGACAGACAGACAGACAGACAGACAGATAGATAGATACAGACAGACAGACAGACAGACAGACAGACAGACAGACAGACAGAATGTAAACCCCACCCACTGAAGGGTCAAGAAGCCAACAGAAGCAGACCTAGGCTTCTGAGCTATATAATGCAAATACTCATCACAGAATCTTCAGATAGCAATTCTGCTTTCTCTGTATGCTTTTAAATGAGGTGACAGGCCGGTGTGGTGGCATACGCACATAATTCCAGCACTCGAGAGGCTGAGGCAGGAAGATCACCACAAGTTGAAGACCAGCCTGAACAATATAATGAGACTCTGTTTCAAAAATGAATGAATGACCAAATAAATAAATGAGGTGACAAAGAGTAGACCTACTTCATAAATTAGACTCTTAGC